ATAAATGTATATATATATAAATCAATTAAGGTCTCTACAAATAAAATTAATGTATTTTGGTTGATACAAGGTCGTCAAAATATTCGTAGTAGTTCTTGCAAGAATAAGTTTATGTGTACGTATGCAGGAACGTATGTGTGCATGTATGTGTGAGCGTTATCGTAGCGTAGGAATGTCTTTGAAGTAATCGTTCAGTCTTAAATGTTTCGTTCGTTTATCAAGTATAAAAGAGGTGAGGGAGAAAGGTTGAGATAATAATAACGATCGCTTCACGTTTGTCAAGGGACGTGTTAATACGCGTGTCTCCTTCTCTCTGGGGACAGGCGAACTTGCCGGTCTTTTATTTTGTTTGTGGGGCTTGAAAAGGTCATTTGGGAATTCACTCCGGGATATGATTTGAACCTTTCCATTGGACGACGAACAAACTTCGCGTCGGCTCGCGAAAAGATCGGTAAAAGAAATTTTGTTTCTGAGAATTGAAGATTATTTGATTTTTGTTTCCAAATGTTTCCTAATTTTCTATTGGCCGAAAAACATTTCGCATCAAGGTGTGAAATTTCACGAGTTTTGTTTTGGATTCGCTTTTGCGTGTCTGTTAAGCAAAATTTGTAAATTCGAATCTTTTTAATTCCTAACAAAATCAACGAGTCAGTACTTAGTATTTGAATTTTAAATCTAGGTCTTGTTTTGTTCATACAGATTAAATGTTTCGAGAGATACGTCCTGCCATTCATCTTGACACTATTAAAGCTCTTGGAATTTATTTTTTTGCTTTGTGTTATACGCTAGTGTTTTTAACTCGCCTCTACATAAGTTGTATTTTATAGAGCAGCCTAATCTTTTAACAATGTCGTCAGTATTGAGAGACATCTTTATTACACGCAATGTGTAGTAAGGTGATCTATCTTATTGGCATATTACACCTTCTGCTATATCGGGAAACAGTTAAACATATATGTACGCATTTTTGGGCTCCTCGAGGCGGTGTAGTGGTTAGCAATCTTGTCTCGCTAGAAAAATTACGACTGAGTAGTGAGTTCGATCCTCACTGGGTGCCCCATACTTTCGGCCTTGTTCCACGTCTAAGCTACGCTTTGAAAAACATATTTTGTCCTTCGTTGAATGCTGAAGAGCGAAAAACAAGATCCGCTTATTTTCTTTTTTGTAATTGTTTTGTTTCGATTAAACATTCAGCAAACATGGCCTTTTATGACCACACCCCCCTAAAACAACGGTGTTTTAAAGACTGTTTCCCACCACATTTTAACTTTTTCTAGATAAGCTGTGGTATATATAGAGAGTAGCCTAATCTTTTAACCCTGCAGTGTCATCAATAGTGAGAAACATCTTAATTAAACACAATGTATAGTAAGGTGGTCTATCTCATTGGCATATTTAACCTTCTGTTTATACATTCTTTTTATTCGTCCCCCGACAAGCTAAATGACGGTTCAGTATAGGATACAGGTTCGAATCCTGTTAAACATAAAATGCCTTAAAATAATTGTCGGACTTTGTCCTTTTCATAATGTGTGACGTCATTTGTTTATATTTGATACGCCATGAGCAGATATGAATGTACTTGAGAGATTCATGGAAGATTGAAGTTTAAAGACAGTAAATTCGACCTTGCTAACCGAACGCTCCTCTGTGGCCAAATCGGTAAAGGCACGTCAAACTATATGACGGTTCCGTATACAGGTTCGAATACTGTCGGAGGACGAATATTTTCTGTGAAAATTTCTCGGACATTCAGGCCGGTAAATGTTGTTTAATACTGTTTATTATAAACAGAATGTATAAACTTAAAAATGTCTTTATATATATATATATAGTGCTGTTCAATAAAAGTGATTCACCTGATTTTTTACTAAATATTCTCTTCTCCGATGAAACGAAAGTTGAGCTAAATTTAACCCCATAGAAAACTTATGGAGCATGTTGCTCAACTCCTTTGTCAAGAGCCTGTACTTCATAATGCCCCATAAATTTTCTATGGGGTTGAGGTCAGGAGATTGGGGCGCCCATGTCATAACACTCACCTGCTTCTCATCAAAGTATTGCTTCATCAATTTTGATTTGTGACAGGGAGCATTATCCTGCATAAAAATGAGTTTGGTGGGGTCGATTTGCACCCTTTCAGTAGAAGGGAACAGACAAGACTGTAAAATTCTCTTGTACTGCTCGCTCCTGAGGGATTTTTCAATAGGTTTTAAGAAACCAGTTCCATGAAAAGAAAAGCATCCCCAGAACATTATACTGAACGGATGCTTGACAGGACTTACTGCTAAATTCAAAGAGCTTTCAAAGCTTCTTCGGATTTTAGAACGCTTATCGTTTGAATTTAGCTCAACTTTCGTTTCATTGGAGAAGAGAACGTTTAGTAAAAAAAAAAAAAAAAAAAAAAATCAGGTGAGTCACTTTTATCTAACAGCACTGTATATATGGTTGCCCGGAAAGTTCCTGTCGAATTTTCAGGGAAATTAAAGCACAAAACAAAATTACGCCGTTAAATATTTATTCAACTAAATATGAAACATTTTGTTGCGCAGCATTTCTCCATTTTTCTTTCACCTGAAAGATTCCATCTTCCCAGAATTTCGATGATTTCTCACAAACGAACTAACTAAGGTGGATTTTATGTCACCCAAAGAATTAAACTTTTTTTTGCCATTGCGATTATTTTGCAAGAACCTGAATAAATGAAGATCCGAAGGAGAATTATCTGGTAAATATAGAGGGTGGGACAATACATCTGAGCCAATCTGCAACAATTTTGGTTAGGTCATAGAAATGTAAGGTCTGGCATTATCCTGATTAAGAATTACACCTTTCCTGTTCGACAATTCTGGTTGTTTTTCTTGAATTGCTACCTCTTTTGTCGTCCAGTTGTTATTAGTACTTTTCAGAATCAATTCATTGGTTATTTGACAGAAGATCATAGTACAGTATTCATTTCCAAATCCACCAAATGCACAATATGACTCTCATAGGATAAACACCTGCATTTGAGGTGGATAAAAGTTGTCTCATGTCGCTTATACCAGGATCTTTTTAGCTGAACAATGTTGTAAACGATCTCTTTCTCATCACTTGTCATAGTTTGCTTAAAAAAAAGGGTGCATTTTCATTGCATCTATACAGCAAATCACAAATGAAATTCGATCCAAAAGATTATTTTCATTCGGATCATATGGTACTAAAACATCGTAGCGATTTAAGTAACCAGGCTTCACTAATTGGTCATAGATGGTGTATTTTGATAAATTTAGTGTTTCTGTCAATTCCTGTTTTGTGTTATGCATGTTATTCTCAACCAATGTCTTGATTTGGTCGTCATCAGTAGTTGGGGGGGTTCTGCCTGAAATCGTCATCAACAAGGCTACAATCACCAGTTCCGTACAGTGCTTTAGCATTTTCATAATACCCAGGACATATCTGTTTTGTTGCTTGCGAGGCATTTTTGCCTTTAAGGTAAAAAAAAAAAGCATCAAGAGTCTAAAATGCACTTAATAATCATCCATTTTCATGTTTAGGAGGCAAAGAAGTTTTACAAATATTATATATTTTTTTAAATTTTCTTTCTCAAAATCTAACCGGAAGTGCAAGCATATATATGTTGATGAATTTGACGTGAACTTTCCGGACAACCATATATATATATCGCTACCTGTTTCTATCTATAGATATCATGATTTTATACATTTATTTATTTATATAAATAAATATATATATATATATATATATGTGTGTGTGTGTGTGGTAGAAATTATTAGGAGGATTTGAGATAATGAAGTAATTCATCGAGTCTAGAAGAAATCTCAACAAAATGCAGAAAGCACTGGACGGCCGTTTCTTCCTATATTTGGGACTCATCAGCAGTGCGCATCCACTACCGAGAATTGAAACCCGGGCAGTTACGATATGAGGCAAGCCACATACTAACTGCGCCAACGGACCTCGGTGACGACGAGGTAACGAATTAGGCTCGATATAGCGCCGCTCTTTTCACACACACACACACACACACACACACACACACACACACACACACACACACACACACACACAAACTAAGCGAACTAACGAGAGAAGGAAAATGCTAGGGTACAAATTTGCTGACAAATGAGAAAGCTAACTCGCTATATATATATATATATATATATATATATATATAAAAGAATTAATGCAAGTAAACTAATGCTCAGTGAGCTGATTGATGTTACCTTCAGTATCCCAACTACAGAGTTAGACAGATCTTTTTCTTACACTGGTCAGCTGGTATCAACAATTAGAGGGTGAGACAAAATTCGCATACTAGATGGGTTAATGGAGAGGTCGCATCAGGCCTGTTAAATGGCCGCCTAGGTCCACCATTTCAAATCAGTTGTCTATCAGATAAGCCCATGAAATATTGAAAAACTCTCCGAAGTGTCAATGAATCGAGACGTTATAGAATTGAAATGTGATTTGAAAAAGAAAAACGGTATATTGAAGAGCTCATAACAATTAAATAACTAGTAAATAATAAGATGGTCATGTGTAATTTTGCCTCATCATATATATATATATATATATATATATATATATATATATATATATATTAATTGAGATTGATTATCTGTGAGGCTATTTTCGGGAAGAAAAAAGTAATCAATTTAACCCACACTCCCCCCCCCTTGCATCATGACATTTATTTGATATAAGGTGAATCGTGACTTAAACGGCAAAAGATCTGGATATAAATTCGCATCCTTCACTCTCACTCTTTTTCTCTCTCTGTCTCTATCTGTCTGTCTCTCTTTCTTTCTCTCTCTCTCTCTCTATCTCTATATATATATATATATATGTTGCATATATATGTTGCATATATATCTGTGTGTGTATGCGCGTTTGCGTTTTTCATAATCACTTGTGTAACCCAAACACTAGTTAATCGTTCAGTTAAAATTTGTTCTGAAAATTTTATTAGTATGCAAATACTATTCACGACTGTTAAG